AGATTTCGATATTTTGTTCATTGTTGAACGTAGGGCAGTCTTTGGAACATTATAGGCAGGCAAATATTTTTTAAACAATAAAATGAGTACAAAATTGTTTCTAGAGAAAGCACTCTTTGTGACATAATTTTAACCCTAAAGCCAAAAATTAACTATTCCATTTTTCTCATGTTAACACCAACAGAAATTGATAGCTGATTTAGAAATACATAGAGCCCTACATGTAATATAACCTGTTTATTTAACATGATAAAACTGAGGTAACAGTGATAATTCAGTTCCATTATTAGTATGGGTTGAATCCTAATAAGTACAAAAAGTAGCTTATTATAGGCAGAAATGGGATGAGATGTTTCTTCAGTCTTAACATTCTATTAAATTATGCTGCTACTTCATTTTTGAAAATGAAATATTTTGCTAAATGAGAGACAGGAGGGGAATAGCCATGTGTAGTTAGAAAACAACAAAAGAATGGTATAGAAAAATAGAACTGTCTGACCTATTAGAGATAGGCCCATCCAACATAAACGGTTTATAGCTCAAAGGAGTCCCTTAGTAAGAGAAGACAAGCACATGGACAAGTGTATCTGGTTTTTCTTTTTTCTTACAAAGCAAACAAAAAATACGTGAAAACATTTACCATTTAAAAAAAGAGAAAGGTTAACATTAGCCTTTTGACCACCCTTAGTGTTCATGTCAGAGTATTCACGGCATAGAACCAGCTCAGCCATAAACCAAGGTACAAGATGAGTGGAAGTTAAAGGATGATGCTGTATGACTATTTGAGACACTGAGTTCAAGCTCTAGGATCACAAGTATGTTTAAGTCTGATTCTTTAAGCCATCTAAAGCTCTGTGAAGACACAAGATGATCCACATTAAAAAATCACTTAGTTTTATTTTGCTGAATAGAGGAGTCATATACCATGATAGAACATCTTCAATTATGAGATGGCTTAGAAAGTATATATGAATTCAGAGAACACTGAGACCTATACTTTACAGTACTGAGAATTTAATTTTTCATTTGAAAGAATAAAATCTATCCAGTGAAGTTCCAATTATAGATTTCATAATGAATTCTACTTATTGCTTCCTGGACCTATCAATTCCATTAATGGATGAATATCTTTTCTGAATCATAATTTAAGAAGAAATGCCAGTATTTTATCAATGATATTTAGATCAGAAACAATAAGACAATAAGCCCATTGTACTTTAATGCACTGGACATTTATATAGAACGACAGGAATTCTAGAGAAAATACCAAAAATAACTAATATGCATATGGCTGGTAGGATAAAATTTTATACTCTTCATTTCAGACAAACCAATGGGGGTAGGAGGGAGAATAGAACTCTGATTTTTATAGTGCAGTGGGCAAAGAGGGAGAGGGGAAATGAACAAATTATCAAATAAATTTCCACACATCATACAAAGTATGAGTATAAAGGTTTTTAGTTAATTTAGAAAAAAAATACATAAAAGTAACTCTCCATTGAAGCATTGAATACAACTAAATACAAAATTACAAATAAAATACAGAATGACTGTAACTTAGAACCAACAGAAACCAAATTGAATGTAAGTCTAACAACTACAAAATCGAGTTAAATGGAAGTCTGACAACTACAGAATTAAAGAGACCACATCCATTCAGAAGGTAGGAGGGGTGCAGATGTGTAATGGACTGGTCCCATGCCAGCATGTGGTGGATAAAAATTTGGGAGGGATGTCTCCAGAGCGAGGAGTCCCAGCCCCACACCAGGTACCTCCGCCTATGGTTCCAGTGCTTGGAATATAAGTCCCCACAACTTCTGGCTGTAAAAACCAGTGGAACTTCAGTCAGTGGAAGAAATTTCTGGATCCTCAAACAGTTCATTTCAAAGAACCCAGAGACACACCTCTTCAGACTCATTCCCTCTGAGCTCCAGCACTGGGGTAGCAGCTTCAAAGGCACCAGTGGCATACAGAAACAAGTACACAGCAACAAGGTGAGCAGAGGCCACTGTCCCTTTCCTAAACCTTCCCCTCAACAGAGCCACAGAGGTGGCAAGTGGTGCTATATCTGAGAGTCCATCAACCTGGATAACACTGTTTGACTTGCTTGGGAGATCCCCTGAGACTCCGTCCCACCCAGCTGGCCTCAGTGAGCCCCAAGGTCAGGCACTAGCAGCAGCCAGCTAGATTCAGAACTTGGCTTCAACTGGGAATCTCTAAGCTCAGCACAAGCAGCGGCCATCTCAGATTGCTTTACAGCTCAGGTAGGGTGGCCCTGCGCAGAACACAGGTGATGGCTGACCCAGGCCTCCACCACCTGGGAAACCCCAGGGCCTGTGCACCCAGTGGACAGCTACAGATCAGTACAGAGCACCACCACCCTACCCCTGCGCAGCTGATCCTCCATGGAGGAAGAAAGTTGACAGTCAGTGGTCACAGCCAGTCCTTGAGGCTGCCTGGCCTGGGTAAATCCCTCCCACTGATCTGCCAACAGCAATCAAGTCTCAACTACAAGAGGAGGGTGTACACAGCCCACACAAAGGGGGTACCTCTAGTACCCAGCTTGGGTGATAGGGGAGGCTGTGCCACTGGACCCTAGAGGACACCTACTACATTAGGCCACAGAACATAGACACAGAGTCAAAGCAGCTCTATCTAACAAAGAGAAACAAACATAGGGAGGCATCAAAAATGAGGAGACAAAGAAACACAGCTCAAAAGAAAGAGATGAAAACTCCAGAAAAAGAGCTAAATGGAATGGAGATAAGCAATCTATCAGATGCAGAGTTCAAAACACTGGTGATAAGAATGCTCAAGGAACTTAGTGAGGACCTCAACAGCATAAAAAGATGCAGTCAGAAACAAAGGATACACTAACTGAAATGAAGCAAAAAACAACTGATCAGAACAAGAATAAAAAAGAATCCAATAAAATGAAGACAATATAAGCAGCCTCTGGGACAAGTTCAAGAGGTCCAACATTTGCATCATAGGGTTGCCAGAAGGAGAAGAGGAAGAGCAAGAAATTGGAAATCTATTTGAAAGAATAGTGAAAGAAACTTCCCTGATTTGGTGAGGGAAACAGACATACAAGTCCAAAACATAGGGAGTTGCAAACAAGATGGATACAAAGAGGCCCACTCCAAGACATGTCATAATTAAAATGCCAAATGTTAAAGGTAAAGAGAGAATCTTAAAAGCAGCAAGAGTAAAGAAGTTAGTTACCTACAGGGGAGTTCCTGTAAGACTGTCAGATTGTTTCTCAAAATGAACTTTGCAGGTTAGAAGGGATTGACAAGGAATATTCAAAGTAATGAAGAGCACGGACCTACAACCAAGATTGCTCTATTCAGCAAAGCTATCATTTAGAATCGAAGGACAGATAAAGAGCTTCCCAGACAAGAAAAAAGTAAAGGAGTTTATCATCACCAAATCATTATTATATGAAATGTTAAAGGGACTTATTGAAGAAAAAGATCAAAATTATGAACAATTAAATGGCAAAAAATATGTACCTATCAACAACTGAATCTAAAAAACAATCTAAGCAAACAAGAACAGAGACAGAATAATGGATAAAGAGAGCATTTTGATATTCAGCCAGATGGGAGGAGGATGAGGGAGAATGGGCAAAAAGGTGAGGGGATCAAGAGGTACAAATAGGCAGTTACAGAATGGCCATGGTATGTAAAGTACAACATAGGAAATAGAGTAGCCGAAGAACTTATATGCATGACCCATGGACACGAACAATGGTGGGGGATTTGCCTGAGGGAGTGGAGTATGCTGGGTAGAGAGGCACAAAGGGGGAAAAATCAGGACAACTCTAATAGCATAATCAATATAATATAATTTTTTAAAAAAAGAATTCTACTAAATTCTAATTACTATTTGGAACCATTTTCTAATATATACATATATCAAATAACTATGCTGTACACCTTAAACTAACATAATGTTATGTCAATTGTATCTCAATTAAAAATATTATTTGGTTTACATGAAGTACAAACCCTTTTACACTTAAAGAACATAATTCTTGTTATAAAGACAAAATGCATAAATAAACTAGTTAGTAGTTATAATCACCTTTGTCTTCTAATTTGCTTTGAAAGATGGAAATAAAAAAAAAGAAACTAAACCAAACCCATTACTTAATGTTCAGCTTGTGTAAAACCAGTATACCAAGGGAGATTTCAAATTTAAAAAGCGTGAAACAATAGTATTTTAAAATTCTGTCTTTTCCCCCACAAAAATCCATTGTACAATCTTTGAAACTCAAAAACAATAACTTTAATAATAAGTTTTCAAATATATACTAGTTTTTTAATAAGAATGGTTATACCAGGTGAGAGTCTTTTCAAGTCCAACATGTGAGAACTTTCATATACAAAATAAATGTTATGCTTTGCTGTAATCTTATTATAAGCTATTTATTTTACTGATGCTAATATATTTCAAGATATATATGGAATGCTCTTTTGAAAATACACATGGAGTATCTTTAGGCTATATCTACAATTCATTTCAACCCAAGAGTTTTACCCAACTTAGGCACTTATTATTCAGTCTTTTAAAACATTAGCTATTTCTAAAATATTTAATCTACACCAAAATACAGAATTTGCTGTATTGAGATTATTAAAATAAAAGTGAACCACATGCCTTGAAAGTAATTCCAAAAGAAGTTTCACCATTGCTTTCAATAGTAATAATATCACTAAAACATAATATATAGCCTCTAAAGACAGTTATATGGAAGGATATTTATTTATAAATTCTAGTACTTGTTAGAAAAAACAAACCTGTTTATCTAAATTCATTCCTTTTATAACTGTAACCCTTCACCTTGGGTTTTAGATGTAAAAAGCATTACAAAGAATTTTACTATTTTTTAAATCAAGTTTTTATTAATTTTATTTTTATTTTACATTTTCCAATCAACTTACCTCAATTTCTGAACTATAAAATACAAATTTAACATTTCTAATTCTGGGCACTACAAATGTAAAACCAGTCCTATTTAGCACAAATTTAAATGATACCCGCAGATTAGTTCAGAGTGGAAAGATTCTGACTTTTGAAACCGACAGAAAAAAATTTTCATTTGGGAGAAATCACCTAAGTATTTATAAACTATAACCACTCTCACACAGGCAACACAAATAAGTTGCATGCTCAAATAAACTTTCAAAATGTATTTTAATTTCATTCCAAAAAGAAAACTTTCTAGATACAAATACATCCCATTCAATAATGTTTTAACATACATTCAGCAACTTAAAACATTACAAGGATCCAATATTTTCATCTTTTATAATCTCAATATATTATATATTTAATATATAATATATACAATACATACAGGTCATCAGCAGGATTACAAAGTAATTTTTAAAAAGTCTGATCAATATTGATAAATATTTTTAATTATTAAAAAGAATTATTTAGGATCATAAAATAAAATAAAATAAAATATGGGAGGCCCACACCTAACAGCAAGATTACAAATGTTCATATAGCCAGTCATTTTATGAGATCCCTCAAGTTGTACAGAGTCCACTGTTAAACAATATTCTCGCTACTCTCAAGCAGTAGTACTTATAGATATTAAGCATGTACATCTCCATTAAAATTTAAAATTACTATGCAGCTTTCTTTACTGTAATATACAGTAGCTATTTTCTTCCCTTCTGTTGGGTTTTCTGTTACTGTTGTTGGAAGATTGAGTAATGTATTACCAACAGAAGCAACTTTTAGCTCCTTTACCTCCTATGGAACATGGCTCAGTTTAAAGAGTGTTCTACAGGCAGCCACATGAGTATTAACAGTACCTTAATACCATTAAGAGCAATTAATAACTGGAGTCATATGAAAAGCTTCAAAGACTGTTTCAGAGGTTTCTGTAAACCAAGGTAATCAGATATATTACCCTTCTAGATAGCCCTCTTACATCAGTTAATACAAGGAGTTAAAATTTCCAATGCCACAGTATAACACTTAACAATCTATTCTGTAATTTTACATATCATCCCATTAATTCACCCTGAGAACACAGAGGAAGCATTTCAAACAAGTTATTCTGATATGTTTCTTTTTTCCTTTGTATTTGCTTTCTTCTGGTTTTTGTCAGCCCTTCAAGGGCACAAATATTTGAATCCAAAGTGTGACTTGGATATTCTTTTTTGTTAACTGAGATTCATGCCACGGTGAGATACTGGTGATAAAAAAGCCCAAAAAGGCTTGTAGAAAAGAGACAAGCAGCAATCCACCAGGTAAGGAAAGACAGAAGTCCTCGAAAGAGCAGAGGGGTGAAAATGTTTTTCAAGCTGCTCAGTGCCACTGTTATTTGTGTAACAGTTACCTTCATCTTCCCATCAGCGGGTGGTAATTCAGAATGAACAGAGCTGGAGGGTAGACTATTATCCACTCGCAAGGTAGAGACAGATTCTGGATAAATGCCCCAGGAATGATTACCTAGAAAATTCAAAACAAGTAAAACTTGAAAAGCAACTGATTCCAAAACCTATTTAAAATAAAAATTCTTTAACTTACATATGAAATTAAGAACAAGAATTTTAGTGGCACAACAAATTATTTTATGTTAAAAATAAAGTAAAATAATAATCTTTTGACATCTTGGAAAAAATTCATTTAACTTGACCAGACTACATCTGGCCTCATCAGTAAAAGTACAAGGAAGAGCTATAAGTCCAATTTACTTTTAATAACTGCACTAAAATCTTATAAAATAATAAAAACATTTTTCCTTATATAATACATGAATCAACTACCTCTACTGAAGTGAAAGGGACAGACTCAGTAACTTCTTAGAAATCTTTTCTTCCTCTAGAATATCAGAATAAATTTCTTTCTCAGAAACTATCTATGATTTCAACATGAGAGACTATTAATAGCTTCTAGAAATTTTTTCATCACATACTTTCCAATGCTGGATAGGATATGAATCACATAATTTACAATTGAGCTATTCTTTTGTTTGAGAGATTCCTAAAATTTCCATCTATCATCAGCTCTGTGGTCTACTAAGCCAACCCAAATAATACTTTTAGTTCACTTACCTTCTTAAACTTCCACATTGGGCACCAAGGAAAATGATCAATACAATAATGGATAGTTCTTGAATAACACTACACAGGGACTTGATACTTAGTAAACAGACTTATAGGAGAACTTTGTTCTTCCATGGAGAAATCTTTACTCTTCAAACATAAGTTATCTAAGAAGTAGAACTCTCCAAAAGATTCTGTAATTCATGTAAGTTTAAAAGTACCTTGTAATAATTTGAATGTTAAGCTCTTACAAAATCTTAAGTAGTCCTTTTATAATACAAAGTAAGATCAACAGTGCTCACTGAAGTTATTCAGTAAATCTGGGAATTAGCGTTTAGTACACGACTTTTACCAGTAAAGCATAACATAAAACCACACCTGAGTTTTCAGATGTAAAATGAAGCATCAACTTCTAAGGCTAAAAACTTCCTATGTTTCCTCTTCAAACATTTAAAGAAACAACTTTAACAGGCATATTTATTTGTAGGTAACAGGAAGCATCACTAATTACAGGCAGAGAGTAAAACAACACAATTCCCAGTAGCCAGGGCAGGCCTACCTAGTGTTTTCAACAGCAGGGTTGTGTGAAGCAGCATAATCAGAGGTGCCACATACTGCAGTGCAATGACACAAAGGTAGTAAAAGACTCGAGCCACCTGCAACCAACAACATTCTTAGTGTTTAGTATAGCTGACGTGTTACAAGTGAATTACACTTTCAAATAATTGTCAAACTGAATTGTTTAAAAGATAATCTTTTCTTGCAAAAGCTAAATGGTAATAAGTTTGTACTTCATTATAAATGCCCCCAAACTGACTTCAGAAAGGCTCAGTTTGAAGATAAGTCTTTTAAAATGTAAAAATATTAAAACAGTTTCCTTAAAAAAGTTCTTAAGTGATTAATATAAATTGGAACAAATACCAGTAAAATTCAACTGGTATATATTCACTTACATTTCAAATATAAAATGAAATGGTAAAATCTCTAAAGACAGACACCTAAAAAAATCAAACTAAGTAACAGGCAGAGTCAAATATGAGCATAAACCTCTACTAAATAGAAACACTAACTCCCCATCCTCGATGAGCATATTCGATTAAGGTTAAATTATGGAGTATGAAAATATATAAAAGAAAAAACACTCCTGATTTATAAATGAGAGTCAATAACAGGAACTCTAACACCAAATCTCTTAAAAAAAAAAAGACATGACAGATTACAGGTCCAGTTCATGGACCTGTAGATGGATTCCTGGCACTTTCCTTCTCTGGAGTCCCCATTAAGTTAAATATTTACGTTTCATGTTCAATTTTTTAGACTAATGTTAAACGGGATACATGTAGTTGCTAAAATTAATATTTACTATGCTTTAATTCATAAAGGCTGGACAACATATTATAATGTCTTTCACATCAATTAGGGGTTTCATTTTAGCAACAGTAGAAATACCACAGCTTTACACCATGAACCTGTGTGATACTTAAAGTACTTAAGGCAGGGAAAGGAATTAAGACCCTTTCTTCACTTAGTGGCAAAATCAGATCAAGGTCTCTTTGGAGTCTGTGTAAAATCATCCCATTGATTTGTAATAAAATATTATAAAACAAAACGACAATCTATTAAAGGAAATCAAATTTTTTTCTTATAACATAGTATTTGCTATTTTTCATTTTAACTATAGTATAAAACTTACCATTTTCTGTAGCTCAACTGTACTTATTCGCCCTGCTTCTTTCTTCATCTGATCCACACATTTCTGGGCTAAGTTTAAGTAAGCTTGCAGGTGACTACGCATCATGGCCAACCGCAAAGCACACAGCAGAATTATTAACCAGAGTCGCAGAGTATCGAATGTAGCTTCTGTCATTCTACAGATCAAAAAGTTGACATGGTGTTCTCAAAGATCACAGTATGCTAGTATGCTAGTTAATGTTCACCATATAACCTACACTTAGCTACAGTTGGAGGTATAAAGCAGAAGTAACCCACTCCCCCATAAACTTACCTATGTAATACTTTCACTTGCATAATAGAGCCAGATAGACAAATGTAGCATGACAGGAAAGTACTAACAGTTATCTAAAAGCAAAAAGTAGAGCAGTACTTGGGATCCTTTTCTCTGCCTACCCTCCCCCAAGAGGAAAAAAAAATTGGCTATGAAATGAAAAGAGCTGGGTGCTCTTAACCCGGAGGCTAGGAGAAAGAAAGAGGGAAACCACTGGCAACTGCCTGTGGAGCTGCCAAGTCAATGACTCATCTGCAGGCAAGAGTAGGTTTACAGTTGTTCGTATGGAAAATAATACAATTAATAAGCAATGTAAGAATAAACTCTGTGTTTCGTACACTCATAACTATAAACGTTCTTTTCCCCCCACCCTGTGTCATGGTTAGGGTTTTCTCTGATTATCTGTATATTTGGATAAGATCTTTCATCTGCTGAGTTCCTGTTTGGGATCACTGGAAAAAATCAAGTTTCTGATACATTATGAAGAAATAAGATGCTTCAGATTCCTCTCCAAGTGATTTAATCTGCTATGTGCTGAAGCTGGCTCAGTTTCTAAGCAATTTCTCAAGGCTAAGTTTAAGATTGTAGGTGAGATGTGCCCTAAGAACATTTTTTTCAGAAACTAGACTACTGGTGAGAGTTCCTTAAAGGACTTTAGAAAGAAGAGGTAATTTCTGATGTTCTTTTGAGGTTTACTGTTCATTAAATACCATGACTTCTGCTTTAATAAAGGATCATATTGTAATTTGAAAGTAATGACTGGGCCATGCTGGGCATCTATTCTAATCCTAGCACATATTGGATACTTAATATATGACTGTTGAAATGTGTAGTGATCTGCACTACAGATCTGCACTGCCAGGTAGGATCTGGAACATACAAAGGTCTCCCTCAAATTTTTAAGACCATGCGGGTAGAATGGTTGACTTTAAAAAAGCACATGGAAAAAGGTAAAACACCTCACAACACTTTTCCCCAAAACAGGTACTGTTATCACCCCTTCCTTCTGCCAGTTTAAGCACCTAGAAAAGGAACTAAAACTACAATTAATATAGGAGAAGCTGCCTAGGGATATGAAGTTGAAAGTACAGGAAACAGAAAAGGCAGGGAAGATGTGAAAGTGTACAGTTTTGTGTGAACCTCCAGTTATGAAATGGAGGTCAGAAGTGGGGATGGAACAGAGGCTTTATTATGTTTCCTCTCTTTTGGTTTCCTTTTTACAAGGTTGTAAGTGCACATAGATATAAAAGTCCCTGTGGAAAGCACTGTTGGTTAGAAAAGATAAAGGAGTAATTTTTTATCCATACATTTCCATTATACTGAATAGTAAGAGTGAGGAGACAGTCATCTGAGACTGTCAGAACACCAGATGCAAGGCCATCCACAGCCCTATAGGCCAGCAGTCTCCAACCTTTTTGGCACCAGGGACTGGTTTTGTGGAAGACAATTTTTCCATGGACAGGCGTTGGGGGCACGGTTTTGGGATGATTCAAACACATTACATTCAAGCTCACCTCCTGCTGTGTGGCCCAGTTCCTAACAGGTCCGGACCAGTATGGGTCTCGGCCCAGAGGTTGGAGACCCCTGCTCTAGACAACACTGTGTTCCCTGGAGTTGTGCAACAAGGAGGTTTGACTGGTAGCATCCTGAAGACAGCTATTACACAGACTTTGAGGGTGACAAAAAATGCGAATGAAGGGAATAGAATAAAGTAGTGAATCAAAAAAAAATATTTCTCAGTTTATGAGTCCAGGATTCAGGATGACAGTGATTAATTAGTACCTTATAATTCAGATTATTTAACTAACTTCAAAAAAATTTGGTAAGTTGATCTAATGGGCTATCCCAGGAAGGAGGCTGAGCCAGGATAAAATACATAGGTAAGGACCAGGCAGAAGATACCTCTCCAAATTCCTAAAGTCATTCTAGGTTTCTCTGTACATGTTCTCTCTTGGTTTTCTTCCTACAAGGTCACGAGCACATACAAACTGTTTGCCCACATTTTATTTTTTTGATGCTAGATCAGAACACATGGATGAATTTAAATACATTTTGGGTTTGAAATAGCATTATAACCATTTTTGCTTCTGACTACAAATGAAGACCTTTTCATAACCATTTAGTCCATGTAATAGGTGAAAAACCTGTCACTTGCTTTCTTCTTCATCTCATTTTCTTTGATTGATGGGCAGCCATTCTTTCTCAGTCTACCAAACGAACTTTGGATTTTAAACAAAAATTAAAAATCACCTGTCTAATCATTTAATGTAATGGTCTGACAAGTAGAGAACAGGATGGAGCACAGACAAGGCTATAATTTTGTTTAAATTGTGTATGCAAAGGGTCAGAAATGGGGATGGAACAAAGAAAACAAAATTATAGGAAAAGGATCCTCCGTCTTTATGTACAACAAATTCTTTTTACAATTTAATAATTACACAAGGGAAAAATTATCCCCATTTCAATTAAGCATTGCTTTTGCCATTAACCTGCACAAACTTTAGTTAGGCTAAAAGTGAGAAATGAATGTTGGTATAAACACTAAATGCTTTATATATACCAAACCTGACTGAATAACCTTAGCCAAATTATTTAACTTCTGAGGCCATTACTTTGTCTGTAAAATGAGATAAGAACAGCAATCACATACAGAATTACTATAGAATGAGGTAAAATATCTAAAGTATCAATACCTAGTATAATAACTGGTAATATGATAGATACATCATAAATGCTATTTTCCTAATTAAACTAAGGCAAATATAAAAATCAAAGAATAACAGGAGGGTAAAATCCAACTTCTATGATCAAATTTCAAAGAAAGATGGAATGCTTTCAGCATCAAAGACATGAGTTAGAAGTTTCTCTGAGATTTTGTCTAGAATCTTAGGATTCTTAGGATATACTTTTAAATTTTTTTCAAATACAAGCAAAAGTTTATTTAGAAAGTTACAGAAGCAGAAGCAAGCTGTGGAAGAAGTGAGCCAGCCGGCCTGTGTGGGCTCAGGAAACAAGTTACACAGGCAAAAGAATGGCCTTTGGAGTTTAAGAGAAAGACAAATGTAGTGCACCTGAGGGAAGAAGAAACTGGAAAGGCAAGGACATGCTCCAGAGGGAGATGGAGGGTTGGGAGGAGAGAGGGAGAGATTAAATACTTAGTGAATCTGTCAATTTAAAATTACCATTAAGGCTTACTTGTATGGGGAAATAACATCAAGACTTCTAAGGATACTTCCTTAGTTCAATTAAGATTAACTTTTAAAAAAGTTATGGTGATCATTGATTATATACTCTAAGACAAATCTGTACCAGGATCTAAAAGAAATACATAATATAAAATGTGTACTGTCAATGACTAGTAAAGGTTTTCTATTTTAATTTTGATGAGGCAAAGTAGAGAAAGGAAAATTTATTAAGCACTTACTTCCAGCTGGCTGCATTACATGTGTTCTTTCATTTAATTCCAATAACTTTGTGAGGTAGATACTATTATCTTCCTTTTCCAGAGGAGGAAACAGAGGCTCAGCAAAGTAAAATAATCCCCCCAAGTGACAGTTTTAGTGAAGATCAGAACTGGGATGTAAACCAGCTCTCTATGATTCTTTCTATTACCCTAATATCATTTTACAAGGTTAATAAGTTAACATATCAAGTACAGTTATTAATGCCTTTTAATAAATTGTTCCTATGTTTCCTTACCATCTTCTCATGTTAAAATATTGTTGTCTAATTGGGGAAATATGAGCTAATATTAGATAATAATGTTAAGGCATTATTTTTAAATTTTGATACATGTTATGAAAATATTGTTATATAGGAAATGGTCCTTATTTTTTAGAGGTACATACTAAAGTATTTAGCAGTAACAATATTATGTCTCTCATTTACTTGAAAAACTACATCAAAAACAAACAAAGGGTGAAGCAAATATGGAAATGTTAATAACTACTATGGGGTTTCATATATGAATTTCAATTTATATTATTTTTCCTCCATGATTTTCACAATTAAAAAAATAAAAGAACTGCACAAAGTATCTAAACAGATACAATTACAACAGGAAAATGTCAAATAACAACTGGACAGTAAGTGAAAAAGCAGAAAAACTTACGAATATATGAAATAATGTTAATGCAGGGTAATACTTATTCACATTCATTTATAAATATTCCAAAGAATTAAATGATGACCTGTAGTTTTAATTTTATAACACATCTTTTAGCATTTTTATTGTTTTAAAAGTGGTGTCCTAATATTCTCTTTAAAAAACTTAAATACAGTATAAAACATTTTAGATTATATAATGAAACAAAAATTAGCTTTCAAATACCCATACTTACAAAGGGATACTTTCTTTACCCAATGGTGGGTTCATAATGTAGTCTTTGGTGATTGGTTTTACCCAGAGCAGAACCATAAATAAAGGTGCCAAGAAGTTGATATGAAGTAATGTTCTGAAAGTATGTAAGAAATAAACATAAAAATCCAGAAACAAAATACACTAATAAACTGCAGAAACTTGAGACTTATAAAATGAAGGTAAAAATTTATTTCAGTATTCTACATATTTAAGGTATTACTGTCATGATTATTTTATATTTATCATTATCACTTAACAATGATTTGAGCCCTTATAAAACTACTTTATTGTCTTAATTTTTCAGAAAAGAACATTTATATCCAGGAAAGTTAAATGACTCACTCATGGCAATATTACAGGTCAGAGGCAGATGTAGCACTAAAATCTATATTGGTTCACTTCTATTCTAGTGTCAACGATCCCCTCCTACTCCCTGATTCAAGGTACAGATACTTAAATGATTCTCTAATTCTACATGGTCAAGGAATCCAAAGAGTTTTTGCTATACAGGAGTCTGCTTTCGATACTTTTCAGTGTTGCTGAAACAAAATGCCTCATTATTGACAAATAAGAGATGGAGATTAGCAAGGTCCATAATACTAGAGGCATAGAGCAGATATAACCTACTATGACAATCATAACTGAGGAACCTCTCAAAATGCAATCACCATGTATATTGTTTTGATTAAGTTGTTAAAATCATAAGGTATTCTCATATTTTTTCATTTCTTCTTGGAGTATTATAAACATACAAGGAATTAATTTCCCTATCCTTTACTAACTAAGGAAATTCACATTATTCCTAACAAGGCAATATACCATAGTACAGAAAAAGGTTTAAGGTATGAGCTATAACTTCACTGTTTCTGATAACTGTTATCCCAAATTTGTACCCTACAGAGATAAATGACTAGTAGGGAATTTTTCTTATTTTTTAAAAAAGACAAATCCTTCAGATTATTTTATTACCTTTTGCTTTCACTATCAACCATGCCGGAGGGCTAAATAGGAAAGTTTGAAACACACACACACACACACACACACACACACACACACACACACACCCCTACCTTAATGCAAATGACAGTAATCTATGTGCAGAAACAGGGCTGGGGCTGGGAACCATAAACACCTGACAGAGAAAGGTGAAACCCTGGTTCTAAGCTCTGGCATTAGAACAAGTGCTAATAGTACCTGGCCACAGGGGTGAGGAGAATGTGGCTGTTCGTTGCCAGTCATACTACTCTTACAAGAGAACTAGCTTGTCCACACCCTTGTATTAGGCAGAGTGCTACAACACAATGGGGGTGGAGTGGCAGGTGCAATAAACTGGAAATAAGACTCCAAATGATCAATGTGAAAAATCTTAAAAAGGAGCCATATTTACTGAAAAGAAAACTAAAGTGTGCCATCACCCCCATCCCAAACCACCACTAAATGTTTTAAAGGTTTTTATAAAGTGGTTCTTTCATCCCACAGGCTGGGTAAACCATCCCGTGTGGGGAAAGAAAACAGCAGTATTAGCTATGCAGTGTTGCTAGGGAACACTCTAGTATTAAGGAGCAGCCCACAGCGGTTTCAGTAGCTGGTGAAGGACTGCTCTACACCCACCCTTTCAGCTTATTTAAATCTCAATGCTGGAGTTAGTGGACTGAAGTGTGTGTGTAGGGAAGTGGGGAGAACCAGTTTTTGTTTTAAAAGAAGCCATTAGAGAGAAGGATGGTTAAGAGAAAGGCAGGACATAGCCAAGAACATGCCGAATAAAAGGAAGAAAAAGAGGGAGGGATAAAGGAGTGTGTACTAGGAGGTGAGAATAGGCAAACACACAAAACGCATATGTAAAAAAATGGAGGTAAGGAAAAAGCCAAAAACAATGTCAAAATTAAAATAGAGGACAATGACATAGGTAAGATATGACTGTAAAAAGACTAGATAGAGAACTGGCATCATTAAGTGTGGAGTTTTAAAGAGCAGCAACATTAGGAAATGATCACTTAGAAACTTATTGACTATACATATATCAAAAAGGACTATTCTCAACTTGGACTACTACTGCAGAACAAAAAGATGAGGTGAGAATGCGGATGTGCATATGATTGGAGCTATAAACCTGTCATTCTGCCAAGGTGGTGTCTACAGCAACAAAATCTATGACAACCACAAAGAATACAGTAAATGCGCTCTGAACTGTATATAGTTTTCAAATATGATTTCTCCATTTGAGAACCAAAATAGATTTTGATAGTTGAAAGTAGTCTATGATATTTGACACTGTACATTACTAACAATCTCAAAATAAAACAATGTATCATTTTAACAAGAGTTGTACAAACTCTTATGTATACAGATTTTACTTTGAAAAATTTAAATATTTAAATAAAAATATTAAATTATTTAAATAGAATCATACCAAATTTAAATAAAATATTCCATAGATCCTTGGTTCAGTTGTAGAGATTACAATATCATAAATTGACCTGAATTAAAAAGAATTAACATAAATAACGATACTTCCATTTTAACAGGCAAAACAATATGGCAATTGATGCTATTTTTTTTTGACACCGGACTTAAAATCTTGAAGTGAATACAGGAAACTTGCTTATAGTAGAAAGACGAAGTAGTGCGACATCAAATAGTTATTCATTAATTTCCAATACAATAATTTATTATTTCATCACAATAATATACCTTCATTAAGATGGAAAACATATATTTATCTGCATGTGCTTATGTACATTTTCCGCTTACTGTGTAATTTTTTCTGTTGTCAAATTCAGGGCATCCAGATGCATTTGAGCCAGGCGTAATCCAGGAAATGTCAAAAAAGCCCCAATGAGTGAACAGAAAATAGCGAGGAAAAATTTGAAAGTAAGTTTTGAAACAGGACCCCTAAAAATAAAAAATTTTTAAAAGCTGATTCATTTTTAAAATTAACTTTCTAGGAATTTTCTTTCTTTTAATCAATCATTTAAAAAATACAATAATAACAGTAATACACAAATAGTAAACATCTACAAAAAGACTATGCTTATTCAATTATCTATAATAGATTTTAGTGAACTATAAAAACTATAAACTAAATCAGGCATCTCTTTAGCCACATTTGTAACAATGCAGCCTACATCTTCAACATAGAATTTGATAAGTGATTCAGATATAAACTTAAGTTTAATCTCTGGTGGTAGAAGAATTAAATCAAATCCAAGTAAAAATCTATGAAAGATATTAACTTATACAAAAGTAAAAATTACAAGAAAGAATATTTCTAAAAGTGAGTCCTTCTTAAATAACTCTTCACTGATTAAAAACAAAGAACCACTTATAGTAAATCCACTTTACTAAAAATAGAAACATTTAAATTTAAATAATGCTTAATTTAAAAAAAAACTTACTGAGATTCTAAGCCTTGCTTTTCAAGAAACTGCATCGCACTGTCTGAAAAATTTGTAAACCCTGTAGAGAAAAAAATTACTCTTAGGTAAAATACAGAATCTTTCTGTGGAAATAAGATGATAGAAAATAGAGCATCTTAAATTTTGAAGTGACTAGTTTAGCTCTTTCATGTGCTAATTAGTATGCCATAATGCAATAAAATTTGGTTATTAGCAGAAACAGTCTTTGAAAACCATCCCTTTGATATTTCCACATTCCATGAGTATGCATAAAATTTGCATTAGGATTTGCATGTTTATATGAGTAAACTTTAGCATTACAGAAACACATTTAACTATAAGAAAGAAAAATGAGGGAATGTGCAGCATTTCTAAAGAAAGGTAACAAAAAACTTAGCTAAAACAAACAAAAAAGGAAAGATCTTACTTACGAATAATGAAGGTTATTTATAACATTAACAAATATGCACCTCTAACCTAATTTTAAAAACTTCTGATATAAAACTTACTTGAATGCTGAAGTCAAAAATATTAACACTAGATAAAGCAAAACTGACTTGTAAAGTTATATGAATTACCTGTTTCAAGTCCAAATTCCAGATAGTTTTCTGTTACAATCAAGACTGCCATTGCTTTCACGAAGAAAAAAAATCCAAAGGTAACACAAACTGATTTTTCACCACCATCTTTTACTTTAAAATAGTGTGTAGTTAATGAAAATAGAACTTTGCTGCAGAAGGAAAAGTTCAGGAAAAAACCACAAATAACTTTGTGGGAATTAAATACAACCATCTTTACAGGACTTGAATTCCAATCAAATTCGACTACAACACTTATTTTGATTCTACAACATGCTTATCTGAAAGGTGCTCTTTGGAAAGAAGTGGGAAAAAAAACAATGAAAATCTGAATAGTCTTCTAGAATACAGGACATAAAAATGAAACAAATCTAAATGAAGTCTATAACATTTATAAATAATAAGTGCACATATACAGATTAAGTTGTAATTAGGAAAAAAATGTATTTTTAGTTTTTCTGACTCAAATTTTACTAGAAGGCTATTAGAATAATTTTATGACAGGTTATCTGTGACATGAAAAGCCATGGTAGAGGTCATATTAGGGAATTATTTTTTATTGGGCAGGTTTATTAAGTAATTTATATTTTGATTAAACACACAAACACAAATCATCTAAATCATCTGTAAGTCGTTCAGTAACTCAAAATTTGAGAATTCCTAATAACCACTGGTAAGTTGTAATACAAAAACTAAGTACCCGATTCACCATTTGAAAGTATGATTAAACAAAACACAAGATCCAGATCAGTACTCAAAAATAGCCACAGGTTCAACATGAAGACCTATTAAAATTTTAAAATATTTTAATTTTATATGAAAATATTAAATAGATCATTTTATCTGACCACCCCCCCAACTGATAAAATCAAGATCAAATCAGTGGATGATCCAAAGTAGAACCCAGATGTCCATTATACTAAATAGTTCTCCTTAAAAGTATAAGCCTACCAAACAAAATAAGGTACTTGGCCAAAAACCAAAAATTAAAAAAAAAAAAAATATATATATGTGTGTGTGTGTGTGTGTGTGTGTATATATATATATATAAGCATCTTTTACATAAACTAAATGTCAAACATAAAAAATAATAACTGTCATATAGTACTTGCTAAGTGCTAGGCATTACTAACACTCATTTCATCCTCACATTAGTCAGCTATTATCACCACTTTATAGATTAAAAACTCCGGCACAGACAGGTTAAGTAACTTGCCCAAGATCACACGGCTAGATTACAGGCAGTGGGATTTTAAAATCTAGCCAGTCTGGATCCAGTCTCTTCACTTAACAATGTATTATATTGCTATACCAAACTGCATGCAGAATGTAAATAATGTGGTAGTTTAGCAGTCATACGTGAAAGTGTTTATAAATAGAGCTGCCATGACAGAGGTGAGCAGCTCCAACAGTCTCACAATCAGAAGGATCCTTATTCAGGAATGGCTGGGCAAGGACAAGGACTTGTTTTTACTTCTTAAAAGGAAGCTGCCCTTTGCTGACCTATTTAAAAATGATTAATATAGTTATTCCCATTCTCCATTGTTAGATATTACCTAGGATACTGGATATAATAAATCTAGAGTCTCAGCTGCTTCTAGCTATGGCACTTACCCTAAGTTAGGCAGCCTGATGGTATGAAAGGTAGATGACTTTTTGGTATCTTTCAAATGGAAATAAATCACGAATAGAATGTAAACTCCACAATTTCAAAGATTCTTGTCTCTTGTTCTCTGACATAGAGCACCAAGAAGAGTGGCTGGCACACAGTAGGTTTTCAACCGGTGAACAGATTTTGCCATGGAAATAATGTTTTACAGTAGTTTAGGTAAACTGAAATAGTATTAATTGTACGCTTTAATGGTAAGTAGGCCTTTTGAAGGACAGTATCAAAAACAACAGTGTTTCCCAGGGACAATATCCTCAAAGCAGAAACAATATAGGAAAGATTTTAGTCTAAGATCTATTTTTATCATTGGTAACAAAAAACTACAAATTCTTTTCCACTCATGGTTATAAATTTAAGGATTTCTGGGTTTTACAAAGGCTAAAGCTTTGGTAGATAGTTGCCCTTTAAACTGTAAACAACAAAAAAATACAAAGTACTTCCATGGCTGGTGTGGCTTTGTTGGCTGGAAGGTGGTCCCGTATGCCTAAAGGCCACCAGCTCAATTCTGGGTCAGGGCACATGCCTAGGTTGTGTGTTTGATCCCAGGTCCAGGCACTTATGAAAGGCAACCATTTACTGTTTCCCCCTGACATTGAGGTTTCTTTCCTCCCCCCATCAAAAAAAAAAAAAAAAATGAATGAACATGTCCTCAAATGAGAATTAAAAAAGAAAAAAAAAACCCTGCAAAAAAAGAACATACAAAGTACAAGAAGAGCTCATTTTTACCCACATATCCCTGGGGCAACCATGCTCTCAAAACAGTGTGTGACGGGAAGTATCTTCATTAACCTCCTTGAGTCAAGCACCTCATTTTTCGGTACCATTCCTTTACCTACCTTTCACTGTTTCCACCTCAGTAAATTCCACTATAGCTTAGCTCCCTGTCGCACACATCTCTTTGCTTTTTCTTAAATACCATGATATATGATAAATACTTTCTTAAATTGTTTTTATAATTACTTATTAGCAGTAATATTATGTTCCTTGGAAACAGTATGGTCTTGTAAGCTATACTATGGACCAAATGAATTTTCATGGGCTAATCTTGCCTCCTCCCCAGAGGGGGTCATTTATTTTCTCTCTAAAAAAAAATACACACACACACACACACACACACACACACACACACACACACACACATATTTAAGCATTTTAGAATACAATCTAAATGTAGGTTGTAGGTACTATCTAAAAATTGCGGCACTAAGAAATAGTTTCAACTTTTTGATATATTTATTAATAGATTATTAGAATAATATTACTTATAATGCTAGATTTTATAAAGTACCTCATTTGCCTCGAAGACAAGACAAACCAGATAATGAAAAACTAGATATAACCTCTGAACTTTTTGATTAAAAAGCCTTCTAAATATTTTCATATTTGTTTTAATGAATAGATGCTTTAGGATACATATAACCAAAAAACAATATAGCACTTTGGCATATACCTTCTGAAGATATTTATCTGGTATGATACTCTCATTCTAAATGTTTTATTGTATTTACCGTAACTCAGGTTACACACACACACATCCAATATTTGTACAAATTACTTTTTTAATGTAAGAAATAAAACTAATAAGCAAATGCCACTGGTTTATAATTACTACCCTCACCAAGTATTTAGCACCTTAACACAAGGTTCTCTTGCTCAGTTTAACTCTGCAGTACTCTGGCTATAGAACAGTACAGAAATCTGAAACTCTATTGAAGTAAAAAAGCTAATCCACATAGTATAGGTTTTCACTAAACATATTTGTGAATCTTCCTCCTATTTTGGCTAATAGCTACTAAATCATTTATAAGCAACAAGAGTATATTATATCACTGCAGAAGTTGGCATGATTTTGTAATATTGAGCTTAAGTAGGATTGTCAAATTAATAGCAGGATATCAATTTCAGTTAAAATGATTACTGGGAATTTAGCAAAGTACATTTACTTTCTATGTCATTCTAAGATGTAATAAGAGTTTTTAAAAACTTTCCAACTTAATCATTGCATATATCCTACTATTTTCCTCCTTTTCTATATGAATGTAATTCATTTCAGAGTTTTTGCATTTTTGCACTTACATCAAAAATAAATACTGGTAGTCTGTAGTTGCTTAAAAGTAAAAAGACTTTCTAAGGACAAAAAATTATAAAGACTATATATCTAAGAGTGGACTGTGACAGTACTCAAGAGTCTCCAGCCAGGGGAGATAAAAGCCAGGACCTGCATCCCCACCAGTGCAAAGCCATGCTATTATTAACCCAGGTGAAAACACAAGGATTGTAATGACAGGAGCTGGCTGTGCATGTGGGCAGAAGAAAAGGTTACGAAGCATTAATCTAAACTACCTTGTATAATCTAAGCTTTTGTAATAGTTTTCTAACTTACCAAGATAATAAACACACTGTATTTTAAATTTACATTATGATTTTATTTTTTAGCAATAAAGAAAAACTACAAAGTTAAGAGTTTTCTGCTAAAACTTTCTAACTTCTCCTCATAGAAGAAAATATATATAAATCTATTTACCCAATTATTATTTTTTTTGAAGATCTTATTTTTATTTTTTTATTTTATTTTTTAGAGAGGGAAGGGAGGGAGAAAGAGAGAGACAGAAACATCAATGTGGAGTTGCTGGGGGTCATGGCCTGCAACCCAGGCATGTACCCTGACTGGAAATCGAACCTGTGACACTTTGGTTCACAGCCCGTGCTCAATCCACTGAGCTATGCCAGCCAGGGCTTTATTTACCCAATTATTTTAAAAATGAAGCAATTTAAAAAGTATAACCTCATTTTATTTATGATTAATAAGTGATATTATCATTTCAGTGAAAGTTGAAGCCAGATGAAGTGTAAAAAATATAAAAGCTAGTAACAAATAAAATAATCTGATTTATATATAAATAGGACTACTGAAAGTTTTCCCTATGCAAATAGAAGTCTTTGTAATAATGATGTAGAGCATCTGTCTCTGAGCACCAAGTTTTCTAAGAAAGCAAGTTAAGAACAATTTTACATTCTTAAAAGAAACTTCATCTAACTTTCAATATTCAAGATGCAATTTATGAAACAAAACACTATTTAAGAAGAGTGGTGGCAAGAGTCTAGAATAGAGATGCTCAAAATTTTCCCTTCTGGATACTCTAAATCTGATATTTCTATTTCTTCTCCAAAATTTAAAAAATAAAGATATAAAGCTGGTGGTCCCTTCTACAAGTATCAAACACAACAGGCCCATCTCTTCCTTGACATTATAAGGAAGAGCTCACATATTGGGAGACAAAGGAAAAAAACCCTAAAAAGCAAAATATAAAAACCCCAGAACCACAACTGAACTGCTTTTGAGACCTACCTATGGTCACTTTCATTGCCTGAGGGCCCTAAGCCCAGACCGAAAAACACTGCTTCATTTTTAGTGGAAATGGATACAGGATCTATAAAGGCACATCATTTACTTACACTAAAAAGCAAAATAACACCCTAAGC